AATTAATTTTTAATAAGTTACTTCCTTATTAATAATAACAATAATAACTTATTTCCTCGATTTTTCAAGATAAATAATAATCATGAAACAATATAAAGTTATGTAATTCATACATCATTAAAATTTGGTGTTAATTTCTTATTTTTAGTGGAGTCAACTACTACAAGAAAGATATTTGTTTAATGGTATCAATGTAATGTAATGGGTTGCATAACTTTCCCGGCAATAGTATAAAGTTATTGTAAAATCTCGAATCACTTTCGTGTAAATGGTAACAAAATATTTTGTTTGCAATACCAAAAGAAAAGAGGATTACTGTGGTTTTCTCACGTTTGATTGGATTAACATACACGAAAATACCACCAAATCCTCCTGTTCCATAGCTATATCAATGGAATTGCTCGTTCAAAGTTGGTTTTTCTGTATTTTGATTCCATAAAGCAAGTATTTTTTGTGCCACACAGAAAAAATACAGTCGATCCCCCCCTTATAACACCCTGTTGATAATTCCGTTTTATATAAATTCCATTTTGTACGAGTCACTTAGATTTTACAAATACGTGAGCCATTCACAGCTCGGTACACGTATTTGTAAAATCTAAGTGACTCGTATAACATGGAATTCATATAAAACGGAATTATCAACAGGGTGTTCGACTGTACTCGCTTTATGGAATCAACTCCACGCAGAAAAGTAATATTACATCAACGAAATGGACTCCTTTACAGAAAAAAACTGCAAATAAACTCGACTTCATACCCATTTTTTTCTGTAGGAAACTCTTTAATGAAGAAATCCCGTACAGAAAAAAGTACTTTCTTTAATGAAGTCAACTCTAATTACTCCATACACAGAAGTGTAGTTGATTTAATGGAACAACTCCATACAGAAAAAAAGCTTTAATGGCGTCAACTTCATTAAAGCAAATACTTTTCCTGTATTTAAATCTGTAGATTCTTGTGTGTATTTTCTGTCAGTTCTGTTTGCAATTTTCTATAAAAGAAACACTAAAACTAGAAATATGTGATGTTGAAAAGTAGTGTAAACATTTCACTGTTTTTAGTCAAGGGGAACAGATTCTTTTTTGACTTTTTATTTTTTTTTTTAGTATGTAAATAAACTGGAAACATGTCAAACATGTTCCTTTTAATTAAACATTATTTCCAATTTGGTGTTGTTTAAAATTCCAAAAATATTTTCATTTCTTATGGAATGTACAGAAATTACTCTTGTCTTATGTAACTTCAAATAGAGTAGTTACGGCATTTTTTAAACCACGTATAAATTGTTTACACTGTATAAAAATAATGGAAATATTTATTATTTAATAAAGTATTTAGTAATTTACTCGGTAAAATTTCAATATTTTATTAATCTTTTATTGAACGAAGAAGAATGACCATGTTGTACTAGGAAGGCAAAGTTTGGTTTTTTCAAAGGTGCTAACTCATCTATTCAGAAGGACCCATGTTGGATTATGGACCAAATTTGTTGCTTCAAAGGTACTATTTTATTCAGTAAGATCCATGTTGGATTATGAACTAAATTTGGTCCTTCAAAGGTACTATTCAGAAAGATCAGTGATGGTTCTTCAGAAATCCTAATTATTCAATCCAACAAAAAATTTTTATGTCGAACTAGGACTCATATTCAATGTAGAGCTTATAAGATCTTACTTTAATAATTCATAAAGATTGTTTATTAAACTATGGACTTGGATCTTCAAATATCTTCAAAGATCACATAGACAATGATGAATTAGCTCATGATTAAGCATGATTGATTCAGTACGATCATTTCTGGCTCACGAAAAATGATTTGAATCCACTACACGAATCAAGTTTTTCACTTAAATCATGATAAATTACATTTAAAAATGTTCCGTTTAAGTACAGTTGTAACAATTAAGTGTAGAAAACGTATTAATTGAGTTGTACTTCTAAATCAAATGATTCTTTTACTTTAAATTGATTTGTCTTTTCACCCCCTGTAAATTACGATCCAAAGTAAAATGAAGATTCATTACTTGAATAAAAAATAAGGCATTAAAGATGTAAATATATTCAAAATTCACTCTTTCGGAATTGAAATGTAAAAAGTAATTAAATATTCTAAACTCATATTATAATAAATTACGTTGAATAAATATGAGTACGGGGTGGTCCAAAAGTCAGTTAACTATTGTAAAAACTAAATATTACTATTTTATACGAATTTTTAATAATATTTTTATCATATTTTTTCCATTAAATTTGCACAAGGAAAACATATTTCAGATCTGTTCCTCAGGTTATTTACATCCGGATTCGAACCCCTTCCCTCCAGAGCTGTAGACTGACGGCAACTTTTATATGTTCGCACGGTTAACTGATTTTTGGACCACCCCAAATTTTTAAAACATTTTAAAGCTTGTAATTAAAAATTTAAACAAACAAATATATGCAAAATTTATTTGCAATTTTTACAAAATAAAACCATAAAAAAGAGGAGACGAAAGCAAACGACGTGTGTTACGATAAAAATACTACTTTAAATGACGTCATGGTATTAAATAAAAAGAAAAGAAGAAGAAGAAGAAGAAGAACAAACTAGTCGGACTTAACAGCTTGGTAGCCACGTGACAGCCATACTCATCACCCACAAAGATAATTTATGAGTCAAGATTACAAATGTCACACATTACCTTTGTATTGCCGATTGAAAACGATGACGTAGCCGGTCAGACCAGATCGAGCTGATTTTTAAAAATGCCTGCGGGACATTAAACGAGAGAAAGACATAACGGATGCACCAGTACCAAAAAAAAAAAGAAACAACCAAACACCAAACAACATACGTAATTTCTACTAACAAGAAGGAATTTTCTACGAGATTTGCGACGGTCGCAACGTCTAGATCGACAGACGGATTGCAAATTACGCTTGCCTTTTTTGATTTATCAATTTTCTAGATGAGATCAAACGTCTCTGTCTTATTTATTATACGTATTTGCATTTTATCTACCGCTTTTTTTTTTTTAATGAATTATTTACGGTTTAACTATGAATTCTTTTTTTTAAACTATTTTCTGCTCCTTCCCTCCTACAGCTTCTTGTATCTGTTTTATTATATTATTTTTATTAGTTTTTATTGTATGTTTAGATAATTATCTGTTGGAAATATGATCCTGACGTTGGAATTCCTTACAAACATTTAACAGGATTTATTAAATAAGTTCTTTAAAGTACCATTTCCTTAGTGTTAATATACTAGGATTTTAAGGAGTATATTTTAAAGAATACGTTTATTTAAGGAGTTTATTGCTGAGTAAGGAATGTTTTTAAGGTATATTAAGGAGTAAGGAATATTTTAAGGATTACTACACAAAAGAATGAGGAATATTTTAAGGATTACTTCACAAAAGAATAAGGAATATTTTAAGGATTACTACACAAAAGAATGAGGAATATTTAAAGGATTACTACACAAAACAATAAGGAATATTTTAAGGATTACTACACAAAAGAATGAGGAACATTTTAAGGATTACTACACAAAAGAATGAGGAATATTTTAAGGAATACTATATTAAGTAGAATGGGTATTTTAAGGATTACTACACAAAAGAATGAGGAATATTTTAAGGAATATTATCGCTAAGGATTATTGTAAGGAGTATTATTATTATTAATAATAATCGTATTTAAAACGAGACGTTGCAAAAGAAGTTATACGAGTGATAAAGGAGAAAAAAAAGGAAAATATTTCTGAAATAAAATCCTTTTTTTTATTTTTTTTTTTTGATGGATGAACTCGATGAAAGATCCTTCAAGAAGCAAGCTTAAAATGTGAAAGATACGTCAAAATGAAATTATATAAAAATAATTTTTTTCTTTTTTTTTCTTTCTTTAAGGGGTGAATGTAATATGTTGAAAGGCATGCATTTATATTCTACTCACAACTTAAACATATTAATATATATATATATATATAAGAGCCAAGTTTACGAAAACATTACGTAGATTTCATGAAATTTTCTATTTAAATAAATATAATTTTTTTAAATTAAAAATTATACACGAAACACCGTAGAGAAAATGAAATTTTTAACCTGAAACAATAGATTTTTAAACATAAAACAATAAATTTTTGATGTAAAATTTGAAGTTTTTGACCAGAAATACATACAATTTTTATCGTATTTATTTAATTTTTCTAAATTGTAATTAATTATATCCAATTAAAATCATAATCTACTTAAAACTAGATTAATTATCCTTTTAGTCTAGTCGATCATCAGTTTAAATCCTTGAAAATAAATTAAACATTTAGATCTAATATCTGTATGTGTGATGTCCTTGTTCATCATCATCTTCGGTTCATTTTAGGAATTTTTCTTCTGATATCTTGAAATAAAACGTTAAAAAAATAAAATAAAAACAGGTAATGGATCGCATTTCTTGAATATTTCTCTTGATTTTCGATGAAATATTTTATGTTTTATCACATAAATTTGATTAAATTAGCATGAAATTTGATTCTTAATCGTGTTTTTAGCTTTCAAACTAGATACTAAAACCTGGTTTCGTGCTTGATAAACTAGTTCTAGATAGGGTCTCATACGAATAAGTAATTGGATAGGTCCTTTAAATGTTCAAAAATTATAAATTACTGCTATTTTTTGCATAAAATGATGTTAAATTTGGATATATTATATGATTTACCAGAGATTTCCTTAGAAAAAACATGTAATAGACTATATGTGATGTGAAATCGCAGATTTTTTCGAGTAAATTTACCTTAGATTGCTCGTTAATTTATATAACTTTGTATAATTATCGAGTGTTTTAATGATTAGGGGGTTATCCACGCTGGCAGGATGACAAAAATCGTAGTGATTAAACGACACCCTTGACCTCTCAATGGGTCAGACACGCACACCACGTGATCGAACAGGGTCCACGAGTCGCACGCGTTGGTCGGGTAGTTAACACGCTCTCTCCAATCTAAACACAAGCGACAGACCACGCGCGTTAGCGTCATCACATTTTCCGCCCCTTTTTAGCCTTCGGACCATTCATAACGTCATCTGCCTGTAGAAAGTTGTTGGACTAGAGCCTACCGACGTCTCTCGTGTAGGTGTGGTTTGATCTTCAACGCCTCCACACGCACGCAAGCTGCGATTTGGGGAGATATCGTCGACATCTATAGCAAAGCGGCTGTTGGTGAACTCGGGTGAAAGGTCACAGTCGCATAGGTCAACATGTGGACGACCATTCTCCTTATAGTCATATTCCAACTTCATATGGCTCTAACACAAGTAAGTGACATAACAATTAATATTTAAATTTATTCTCTTCTTAGTAAGGGCTTTCACCTTGCCATTTTGCGACCTTTCTTCTTCTTCTTCTTCTTCTCTTCTATTGGGATTATTTGGTGTCTTGTAGAAACCTTATCTGACTAATGCACTAGAGCGTTATCTAAGTTGGAAAAAGAAAAAAAAATTTCGTGGATTTAATGAGACAATTTGTTTCCAATGCCCATTCCCCCTTTCTTGCACGGTCTAATAATTAGGCAGGCTCCGATTTCATATCCTGTCCACACACAAGAATTGGGTTGTCCCTTTATGCTTCACTATCTCCATCTTCTGTAACTGATGAGAGATGATGACCTTCGTGCCACTATCATTCTTAGTTTGAAATTTTACACGAAGAAATTCTTCTTTATTTATTTATTATTTTATTTCCTTAATTTCCCTATCTTCTATTTGATTTCCTGTGTTTTTATTATTATTTATCAAAGTCTAAAAGTTATATTTACACAAAAGTCTAGAGTCTAGACGTATAGAAAAATGTGGATACGCCATTTTAAACACTTGTTTACTCATCAATGAATGTTATAATCTGCAGCAGCATCGCCTCCATCATTTACTTCAACATCATTCTTTTATATACTTGACCTCAATTCCACGTCTATTTACAGATCATTCAATGTTTTAAATTCATGTAAAATTACATCATCAGTAAACTTAAAAAAAAAAAAAAAAAGAATTTCTGCTCTTCCCTTATTTTTAAGGTAAAAATACCTTAATTTAATATTCTTTACACGTTTTACCCTATTGAAATTTCGATTAATTAGCATATTTTCTCAACACTTCACACACCAGGGATACTGTAAAAAATCGATTTTAAATCGAGTCCTTCGTGTAAAATTATATATAATATGTATAAATTTAAAGGTAATATGGTACACGGTCAAGGACAAAATTTTATTTCTTCATTGAAAAGTACAACGCCTCTTCTTTTCTATTTATGTCACACATACGCAAACACACACACACACACACACACACACACGCAGTGCATCAACTTTCATTCATGGTTTTACGTATGTTAAATTGCTGTAAATTAACCCCAAAATATCGATTTAATGTCGTAATTTTAAACTTACGAGGGTCGTTAATTGAAATAATTTGTAATTTTCTACACTAGATATATTCTAAAATTTCCAGAAAGGGAGGAGATGTTGATAAAAAAATTCAGAAAAAAATGTCTCTACTTCCGTTAGTATGAACGTTACGCATTCTCTGTGAGTGTGTGTGTGTTGCTTGGTGGTTTATTTTGTTGAATTTACTCCCCACACGGGGTGTATAACTTCCTTATCCAGACTTAGCAGTTTATTTATTTTTTTCCCCTTCCCTCCCTCCTTTCTGTGTTGTGCAAAATTGCAATTAATTTAGGGATAATTGGCAGGGAGAGAAACAATTGGATAAAGGGCAGCAGATTACGTGTAAATGAATAACATCCTCTACATTCTGCCGCCCTTCAATTTATGAAAGAACGAGAGATCCTTGTCTTTTTTCCCCCTTTTCTTTTTATTCCTCCAACAGTTACGTATAGACGGAACAATATTGTTGAACATCACGCAATACGGTTACGTTTGCCCTTACACTCGTAACGCAAACGTAACTTTTCGATAAAGGGGTTTACACTTATAAAGATACACGAATCACCTCCTGTATTTGATTACACGTGCTTACTTGGCCTTATTTTTTTTGTCTGTTTGAACCTACAAACTATACTTTCCTGTTCTGTTACTTGATTTTTGTATTCTCAGCGTACATTCGCGCTAGTTTCAGACCTCATAAATTGGTTACTTGTATGTTGAACCATTATAATCTCTCATCAATATGGAGCTGATCACCCAAAAAAACCAAACATTCTGAATTATACTTTACGTGAATAGCGTTTACTAGCGAACAAATAACTCGATTAACTCACAACTCTCAGCACCTGCAACTCCACATGTTGACAGTCAGTACTGTATTTGTGTCGTTGACATGTGCAACCCAAACAGCTTAAATTGCACCCCGTAATCTATAAACAGCTATGACACGGATAGGATGCAGTTTATTTTAAGAGATAAATGACAAACTACTAATTTAGGAGCGACCTAATGTAAAGGAGGGGATAATACAAACTGTAATAGTTTACATGTAAAATTTCTAATTGTTTCGTGTTCGGAGTAGGCTTTTGTATCACACTTTATGTAACATGATTCATACCCTTTCTAATTCGAGATGATCTATATATGATTGATGTATATTAAGTGTTGCTTCTTCCTGGATTCAAGGGTTGTGTAAGCTTTGACTTGTTTATGTAAAAGTTATCGTCACTTCTTTCTTATCGAACTAAACCACATCAGTATTTACATAATTGCCATGTGTGTGCGTGTGTTTCTTTATACCAGTCGACCCCCTATAACACTGTTGATTTTTCCGTTTTATATGAATTCCATGTTATACGAGTCACTTAGATTTTACAAATACGTGTGCCATGCTGTGAACGGCTTATGTATTTGTAAAATCTAAGTGACTCGTACAACATGGAATTCATATAAAACGGAAAAATCAACAGTGTTATAGGGGGGTCAACTTGTATATATACAGTAAATTCCATTACAATATCACAGAAAAAAAAATGAATTTAAATTAGTATTCGCCTTCTTAACTCTTTACTAGTTTAATTATAATTAATTTTATAATTCGGAGATGATTAAAGGGTCAATATTGAATTCCAACAAGGCACGATAACATTTATCAAACGACGCCCTTATATGCATCGTCCATGCTACTACAGTAACAAGAGGTGAATGATAAAACATCACCAAACTTGATATATGTTAATGGATTCTAGTAAATTAATATAATTATACACTTATTATTTTTAATGAAATTACTACATCATCACATCAATATTATATTTTATACTTTTTTTCTTACGTATAAATTATAAACCACCACCCCCCCTAAGCCGAAGCATCAAGGTCACATAAGGATAAGATAGATTACCTCTATTAAACTCGTTCTTAATGAAGTAAGGGGGGCGAAAGAACCCAATTAGTGTGGGTGTGACTAAAGGTATACATGCATTAACCAGCCACTTTTACGATTTAGAAGGGGATCTGCAAAAAAAAAAAAAACCACACTCGTACCGTTTTTAACACTATTTGCTTATATGAGCAGCTGCCATTGGGATGATGAATGATCTGGTGTGTGGCTTTAAACCCAAAAGAGGCCCTTAAAATCCTGACAGTAAGTCTTGATGAAGAGATTTATCTTCTCTAGCGACACCTCACCCTGTTTGGATGGTTAGGTTAGTACCTGTCGCCATTTTAATGAAGTAGGGAGGACCTATGCTTGATTTTTTTTTTGCTCCTACCTTTATACATATAAATATAACAGAAAATTTAGGTGCAATCAACTTAACACATCTTTAAACTTTCAACTTAAACACGTAGCTTAAAGTGATTGTTTAGTAACTTCAACTCTACAGAGAGCTATTTACTTCTAAAGTATAATAGGTTATTGTAATTACCCGAATACTTAGGTTAATATACCATTCCAGGTGTTAGATACAACCCACAGGTGTGAGCTAAAGCCCTCTAAATAGTTTCGTTTTGGCCAGGTGTGGGGGCTTGTAAAAGATCTGATCCATGGGGTGCAATGCTGCTTTGTCCCTTCAGAGCTGTTCTTGCTGGTTTTGGATTATTTTCTTTTGTCCACTTTTACTTCTTTATAGTCTAAATCTTTCTTATTTGAGTGGTTTTTATTTGATATATGAGCCTCCTGTGTTTTTTTTTTCTTCTTCTTCTCTCTTTTAATTTTAAGGAGTTTACTTTCAAGACCCACCTTACTTTTATTATTCTTTGTTTCTTTTATTACATGTGTTTTATGTTTAATTTTCTCATCTTCTACGTCAGTTTAATTTATAATTTTAGGGTCTTAATTTACCTAAACGGTCCCATTTAGGGCCTAAAACAGATTACATAGGGATCGTACCAAATATAGGACCCTGAAAAACATTTTTTTTTTTTTTTTACATTGTAGGGCCCTTCTATGTCCGGAAATCGAGCCAATAACCTTGCTTGTATTGCCTCTCTAAGCCTTTCTATTATTATTTTATAAAAATAGAAAGGCCTACAGAGAGGCAAAATCATTGAGATAACGTCTGTTTTATAAATATAGGACCCCAAAAGTCATATAAATATTTTCACCATTTATCAAAAATATTTTTTACAAATTTTGGTACCCTCTCAGTGTTCAAGGCCAATGCCCCTATAAGTCCCTCTTTATATAGACTTTATATATTTTAATTCTTCCTGTTATTATTCACAGTTTATTTCAGTATTTTACTCTATTTTTAAAAATACACTTACTAAACATTATTTCACACACACACACACACACACACACACACACACACAGACAAAAAAACCTGTTTACAATAAAATAAAGGGGGAAAGATCCGCTAATAAATAATGCACTTGATGTTGAAACGTTCTCTCAACTACCAAACAAAATTTATTTAGCCTAGAGAGACAATAATCCTTTCTTTCAAGTACCCGGACCTCCTTACAGTTATATATTAAACAATAGTTGTAACATGTAAGTAATTTCTTGTGTTTATTGCCATAGTAAATTCTCTCCTAGGAGCAAACCAAACAGTGACAATAAACACATTGTTATATTCATTCTTCTTCTTTTTTTATTATTATTATATTCCTTTTTATTTTATGTTCTTTATATTGTCCAGGATCGTTAAATATACCGTTAGTTCTACAGAACGTCTGTCCTAATTTTTAATACAGGAAATTAAATGCTTTATGAAGATTTTAATGTGCAAAAAATTCGTCGCTATATTTTGCAATTTTAAACTTTAAACATAAATAATAAACTTACACGAAAATTATTTCTATAACGGTATATTAATAATGATAATATATATATATATATATAGATCATAGGATTAGAGATAAAGGTCGAAGATCGAAGTTGATTTTATTGCATATCAGACGTTTAAATGAGCAAAATATCTTGTATTAATGTGCTTAAAACCGGTTTTAATTGCAAAATTTTGCTCTTTCTGTAAGGCTCTACAACTTCAAATTACTTAATTTATTAACGCTTTCGAATGTGGATAATATGAAATTTACATATAACGAATTTCTTTAACAAAAGGCCGTTTTGGGCCGTTACGGTATTCAAAGATACGATTTAGGAGAATTTTGCGCGTTCTAAATCAATTTTATCGGAAATTATACAGGTTTATAATTTAAAATTTTATTTTTTTTATCATACAAATGCATCATGTAATATATATGATTCGGAATTATTGAAGAATAAACATACCAAAACTTTTTAAGTGTGTAGACAGGGGTGAAGGTAATGAGAGGTGTTAGGGGGTGGCTTACCCCATAAAATTTGGCCAAATTCTGCCGAATAGTGGGCAAACTATGCTACCAAAAAAAGTACATAATACGTATAGTATTTTTCAAAAGTTTAAAGAGGGATGGGAGAATGAGAGAGGGGAGCCAATGTAAATTTCTCTAATTCTCGTGTTTTAATTTAAATCAATATAAAAATGGAAGAATAAGATTAGAAAAAAGAAAAAAAAAAGGATGTTTTTACGGAGAAAGTGCAACGACCAATTGATTTTTTCACTTATTCCAAACTCCATAAATCGGTTGTGGGTTTGACAAGTGATGCCAACTGCGGGGGCTTTCTTGGACGGAAGGAGGTCTACTCACTTACCTGGTTAGATAAAAAATTGCAAGTTATCCCGTCACTATGGCGACACTGATGTCTGTGCTTTATGTTACAAAGGTTATTCGGCAGCGAATCATGGGAAGGTGAGCTTTTATCTCGTTTCCTGGAGATGATTCGAGAAGTAACTCAAGACACTTTAGGAGGTCCTCTCACTTGTTTATGACTTGTCTCCTTATGTAATTTAATACGTCTGTAATTAATACGTAGACGTTGAAATATGGCTTATACTCTTTTTTATCCCTCCTCCTCTTTTTTTTTTAAGGTTGTAAAAAGTAACCTGAGGAATGTTTGTCATTTTTTTTTTTTGAATCTTTGAACGTTTATAATTAATCTAAATTGAAGATTCGGGCGATCTTCTCATTGAGAATCATACAAGGCACATTTCTTTACGTGGAAGAAAAAAAAAGGAAAGTGAAGAAAGGATGAATAAGTTGCCTTTCGTGATTAATGTCGATTTATTTTGCAACACGCAACTTACAATTCAATGATAAATTTTCTTGGATTATTTTTTTTTTTAAACTTGTGAATGAGTTATTGAATTGTTAGTGAATAAAACTTAAACATTTTATCTTTAATTTTATTTTACTTTTTAAAATTTATCGATATTTCTTACTGATTTATAAGGAAGTATACAAGGGTATGTCTCTGTATACAGGTCGAGAGAGGGTAATTGGAGATTGTTTCCCCCTTTCTTCGGGCCCGGAGGAGTAGGGTAGCCTTTATAGTGGTTCCTATATCTATAAATTTACGAATAAAGAAACATTCTACGTATTTCATTTGTACGAAAAAAAGGCTTTATACCAAGCTCTATCTATATTTTCTTACAAAATTAAATAATACCGTATAGGACTATATAATTTCAAGGAACCAACTGTAAGGGATCGGTAGTCATTCGGCTCTTCAATAATATTTGGGATGATGCAGACAGAACTCAACCTGTTAACGTGTACTAAATATTTAGAAAACAGGCTGATGTTTAAGAGACAGGCCAGGAAAAATCAGGCTGAAACAGACTAAGCAACAGGCTGTAACAGTTTTCTTAGCCTTTTTTTTTTCCTTTACTGTTGCGGGGATATAAGCAAATGGCTAAATGGATTATTATTATTTTCTTTTTAAATAAAATCTGACGATTAAGGTGAAGAGAAAGTGTTAAAAAGTGTGCGGATATCCGCAGGAAAGACATAAAGAGTTCGTTGTTCATCAGATTCATTACATAAAAGTGTTGCGAAAGATGTCGGTCGTCGCCAATTTGGCGTCGGACACTCGCTATCTGAGGAAGCTTGACCACAATTCCATTTCCTGTTTGTCAATGGGGAAGACTTCATTTTCTGTCACTGTCTTTTAATTGGCTGACCTTGGATTAGATCTTTAAAGAAATAACTATCTCAGTCTGGTCCTATGACAAGCACATGTCTCTTAACATCCGGTAACCTGAAAACTCATTAATGATGCCTCCACCAAAAAAAAAAAAAAAAAAAAATTGATGAATTATTAAATGCTGGAATGTTTGATTTTATTATTAAATTTTATCAATTGCAAAACGTTTTTATCTATCATTTTTTACTCTGTCTCCTGTTGTGGATCCCTACTACACCTTCTGACTCCGAGCTCCTGTCTTTGGTAAATTGGAACCAGGGGCAGATTTAAGGGGTGCGTAAGGCTCACTGTCCCCCTTCTGGGGTGTTTTTTTCTACAGTGAAACCGGTAAAAAAAGGCATTTTCCTTTCTGGATCCACTATTGATGGAACTATACTTTAATGAATTTTATGTTGTTTTGATTGGAAAAATCACGAAATTATTATTATTTTTTCTAATTTAAGCTTATTTTTAATCTTAATTATAACATAATAACATATTTAACTTGATTTAATCCATGTTTTATCACATAAATCAAGTTGAAGACAGGCTGAAACTTAACTTCTTTTTCTTCCTTTTTAAATGACAATTTTAAACAATTATCAACAGAATTATGTCCTGTTTTCTTAATTAAAATCTGTACAAGTACATGAATTAAAATACTTAATTGTAATTAAGCAAGAAATATAATTAATTCGACTTTATATGAGTTTCTTCTTCTAAGCTGTAGTAACATACTACTATTTAGAAGAGAATTAGAGGAGGATTACAGAAGAATATTACTATTTCGTAGTGGATCAAGGGCCTCTTATTAAGCTACAGTTTAGGGCCTATAAGAGGCCCTAGATGTAGCTTGAAGAGGAAGGATTTCTACCCAGTTTCCAAGGAGTATAGACGAGTTTCCTCAGAAGTAACAGTATAAAAAAAAAAAAATGAACGGAACAACCTAATTAAAATATTTACTTAACTCTTACTACGTTTTTGTTCGTATTTAGAAACCAGATATTTTAAATATTAATTTCATAAGACACGTATGTTAACGTTAACACGATGAAACTTTAGGAAAATAAAAAAAAAAAAAAAAGAAAAGAAATATGCTAATTATTTTAACAAAGTAACTAATCAATCTTCTATAAATTTATTAATTTGTATTATTTTACTTTCATTTTTTTACAGTAAAATAAACTCGAATGCCAAAGCACTGAACCATGTTTTTCTTTAATATTTTATAATAATTAATTAATTTTACAGCTTCCTATTAGAGAAGATGGAAGGGGAGGAAGCAGCAGCAGCAGCAGTAGTAGTGGAGGTTGCCGGCATCACGATTGCAGTGAAGAAAAACCTCATCCTGTTTGCGGTACCGATGGAAGAACTTATGATTCCATGTGCCATTTGAATAAAGCGAAATGTGAAGGACGTCAAGTTGATTTTAAATACAGGGGTTCGTGCTTAGGTAAGTATTTTATTAATTAATAAACAACGAATATAATAATAATAATAAAGGGTGGGCCAAAAATCAGTTAACAGTGTGCTGATTTTTTTGTAAGCGAGAATGATCCCTGTTTGAATAATGCGTTAAAGTACAGTAATTAAAATAAGATACCGAAAGTTAAGTGACTTTTGGGCCACCCTATAGGTTTGACCTTGTTTTTATGCAAATTAAATATATTATTTTTTATTTTTTTTTTATAGAAAACGAAAATTGTTTTGCTAAAAGGGCGCAGATAGAATTACAAGGAGAGACGACAATATTTAAACCGGAATGTAAAGAGGATGGAAGTTATAAAGAAGTGCAATGTTTTAAGGGTTATTGTTGGTGTGTGGATTCATTTGGCAAGCCAATTCGTAGTGCATCTGCGAGGAACACACGCCCACATTGTTTTAGAAGACGTGAGTAGGAAAAGATTAATGAATGTCATGTACTCATATATAGCCTATCTACATAGACATAAATTGCGTAATTTAAACCCATTTGACGTCAGTAAAAATTTTATTATCCCATATTTATTAAGTTTTAAGAGCACATTAATTTCTTCATTAATTAATTGGATACCTTTTTTTTTTTAGTATAGTTTCAATGAACTATATTAATGAGCATTAAAAATAAAAATTGCTCTATAAAATAATAGAAAACTGTCATGGAAGTTTGTTTTTTTTTTACACTTGTCGTTCAACAGTACAATTTGTACGAGTATACACACAACGTGTACAGTTTAAGGTGGGGCATTATATGGTCAGTGAAGTATGCTCGAGATGAACACCTATTGAACTTTTGTTGTGGAAACAATCATATTCGTGCTGTAAGGGGGGTATGAAACAAGCGTAGGCGAGTCAGAAAAGGTGTGAACACGTCTTGTTCGTGACTGGACTTCTCTAACGCTTATCATATCTCAAACAAATCTACAAGATGGTGGTGAGGTGCAGAAGCTATTTTTCTTCCTCTATACGTGTTGACTTTAACTACAAATCGTTGAATATTTATGTAAATTTTCATACTAAAGAATAACACAAAATTTACCTGTTGATTATATTCTTTTCCACATTGATTTATATAATACAAATCTTTCCGTTATTCATAAAGTTATAAAAATAAATGGTTGTAGTATTATTTTAAATAACAATTTTTTGCTGTGTTTTTTTTTTTTATAGCTAAAATACAACCGAGAAGAAGATCTTCGAGGGGTAAAAAAGAGAAAAAAGGTATATTTTAAAATACATTTTTCCTTCCTAAATTCATTAAAATTGTAAAAATAAAGCTACCATTTCTCAGTATAAAGAAAATTTTTGTAAATCGTTTGAGATAGGAATTTGAAATTTGGTGGGAAGATAGATGTTAACCTGTTACACGAGATAAGTATCTTCCCCTTTGGGCAGTTCCCCTATACGTAAGCACGAGGGGGGAGTCACCTTTTAAGCAGGGGTCAAAAAAAAGCTGTGTGAAAATTTGGTCTTTAGACTTTAATTCATTTTTCTGATGAAAAATTATGGCTTCCCTCACTTACCAATTTCTTTAGTTATTACTGATGGTGAAGATAAAAAAAACTTCTTTCTCAGAGATTTACTATTGTGGTATTTTAATGAAATTTTTACACTTCTAACCTTCAATTTTATAGTATTTTATTGTTTATTTTTTAATTTATTAGCTTGTGGGAATAGCGACAGAGCGACAATGAATACTAACTTAATAGAAATATTCCGTTCAGAATACAATAGATTCCCCCAACCTACGGATACAAGTAAGTGTAAATCACTTTAAAAAAATACGTCATAAATACGTAACAGAAAGAGATTTAAATTTTAATTGTTTAGATACAAAGGATATCCTACTAGACACTGAACAGAAGAGGATCATACAGTGGAAGTTCGGTCAACTAGATTTAGATAATGATAATTATCTTAAACAAGATGAAGTACGTGATTTAAAAAGGATGGTTAAGAAAATTGTTAAACCGAAACCGTGTTCTAGAATTTTAATTAAATACTGTGACGAAGATAAAGATAAAACAATATCTAGAACCGAATGGTCTTCTTGCCTTGGTGTGGATCTTAATAGTGAGTTTCTTGTCAGGTGTTTAATTTAAATTTAAGTTTTCTATTAAAATCTACTTCATTAATTGGACGAACGACTTAATATTATAAGAATTTCATTATAGTTTTACAGCGAAATCCCTCTAAAAGACATTCCTTATAAACACCACTTATGCTTGGAACCGTTGATGATTGTTAAGTAGGGGTTTTATTGAGTAAATAACCTCTCATAGAAACCACTTTTTTTGGAAACCTCGTAGTGGTTTCACTCAGTAAAACCCCTCTATAAAAGACCACCCCTCTTGGAGGTTTACCACTAGTTTTTCTCATAATCATGTGGTGATGAGCAAACCTTTCGTAATCTTTAAAATGTAATCTCAAATTTTGTCGTTCCTCCATTAAATTAATTATATTTTAATATAAATAAATGAAAAAAAGTAATATTTAAATATAATTTTATAAAAAGTGTTGAGCTATTCAGCAATATTTAAAATCTTCTCTCTCTCTGTCTGTCACTCTCTACGCTTTTGTTCCTTTTTACTGTTTTCCTGAAGCAATATAACAATATAAAATTAAGAAGAAAAAAAAATTAAAGTAAATTATAATTTAATAAAAAAAATAATAATAATAAATTAATTCAATTTTTGAGGCTATTTTTAAAGTAAAAAAAAATTATTCAATTTATTTATTAAATTAGGTTATAATCATTCCAATTCGAAGCTTTTTTTTTTTGTGTTGTTTTGGCATGAAAAATTGCTTATTTTCCAATCGATTTGTGTAATTTTCCTCCCTTTTTTCCCTCGAATAAAATCTATAAGATATAATAAGTAAAAGTGTAGCCTCCTGTTGTTATTTTTAACTTTCTTTTTCCTCGCTAATCCAATTCTCTGTGCCTGTTTGGCCGGGACAAAATGTGCAATACAACAAAATAGAATAGAATAAGGAACAGTGCTGACCTTTATGTCATAGTCTCTTTACGATTATTTATGTCCTTGTACTCAGAGGAACAGACAGAGAATCCTGAGGAAGAAGAAACATCGCAAGATCCAGGTAAGTAAAAATTTACTTTTTTTGTATAACTGCATGAATAATAATAATAATAAAATATAAGTTATATTTAACTGATTAACTACTTTGTATTTTGGTACAATGTACTTGATGTTGTTGAAGAAGAGATCATTCAACTTATTATCATGCAGACGTAGCAATACAAGAATGTAACCCGCCTTTTCTGACATCAGCATTTCTTTAACCTAGGAGAAAGCATTTGCCAATTGTTTATATATAAGACCTTCCCAAATCTTGTTAGGAAGGGCGGATTTGAATGTTTTTCTTTGGGTGGAAAAATAACTTAAAGACACTATTGAATAGATGGAATTTATATAATTACCCTTTAGAAAGTTAATGAACTGTAAATGAGACGATATAAATTTGTTATAATTTTAATTTTCCTTCTTTTTTTTTCCAGACAGGCAATTAAATTGGGATCGTATGAACACCAATGTCATTCAGAATACGTTTGTGAGCGACGATGATGGTGAGTAAAAAAGTAAATTATCTGGTTTAATTCGCGTTAATAAATTAAATATTTTGTTCTATTTAGATGCAAGATATTAAAAACTAGGTCTATAAATTAGTTTTGCTGTCGTAAAAATATCGTTAACCCGATTTATCGAGGTGTATGTATAGCAAGGGTTCGAAAATACAGGGTTGTACCAGACCTAGATTGTTAACAGCAGGTGGGCCAAGATCAAAAATCCCCAGGGCGTCCCGAAGAACTTGGTCTTAAAAGAATGACTTTTATGTTCTCTGTGGGACAATTTTTAACGTCCTTGCCTTTAAATTCCTATTCATAGGCAACACCTTTTAACAATTTAAGCTCCACTCTATCAATTATTTACGCGTGCAAAGCGGTGTGTGTAGTACTTTCAAACATCCTAAACATCTTAATTTGTTTTTAATTACAGAACCACAAGACTGCCCGACGAGAAGAAGAAAGAGGATAGAAATTAACCGGCAACATCCAAAAACTGGTGCTTTTGTACCGGAATGTACCGATAATGGATTATACTTACAGACCCAATGCCATAAGAAAAAGACAAATGTGGTCTGTTGGTGCGTTAATCCAAGAACTGGTGAACCAATTCCTTCCATACCTGCAATGAAAGAGAGATCCGATTGTGAATCTGTTCGAAAGAATGTAAGATCATTTAAAGGTAAAGGTAAATTAAAATTTTTTATCAATCCTCATTGCTGTGCCTTATACGTCATTTGAAGAATGAATGACCAAAGACGAGAAAACTTCATCAGATTTTCTGTATAATTAACTTATCTTTGCTTGTTTTTTTTAATTATTTCATAAGACACGTTTATTATTTTCATTCTGATTGAAATTTCGTTAATTACACGCGCGATCTCCGGTACAATGGAGCTAAGAACGTAATGCTTTTTCTATGGGAAGATACTTTTCCAAATTACTCGAAAACGGAAGTAGGTAGTAACAAACGGTTTTTTGCATTAGAACCGTATTTAATTCTACTATTAACGTACGGTTCGGAATTTCGAAAATCAAATTGGTTAATTTTCTACAAATTTTCTAAGATTTAAAAAAATCGTAGAAAATTAACGAATTTGATTTTCGAAATTCCGAACCGTACGTTAATAGTAGAATTAAATACGGTTCTAATACATAAAACCGTTTGTTTCTACCTACTTCCGTTTTCGAGAATTTCCGGAAAACGTTTCCTCCCCATAGAAAATGCATTACGTTCTTAGCGCCATCTACCGGAGATCGCGTGCGTAACCAGAAGTTACAATCAACCTTAAATATAAGGAATATAAGTAATAAATGCCATAAATTATTCTACTTACATCTTCACGGGAACATTTTATATTATAATTTATTTTCAGGGTTAATTTCAATTACTGAATATTTGAATGATGATTCTATAGTAAATGTTCTATATATATATAGTAACTGTATTGTTTATTCTACGTTAAACCTGTTTTTATATTGTTAATGTATGCTTAATATTACTGGCGTGTTACGAATTTGAAATAAAGAGTCCCATATACAGTATTGACTTCATACATTTTTTTCTTCAGTGGAAATATTTTCTTATAAAAGATTGGGGGGAGGGCCCTTTTTGATGAGGCCCCAAACCAAGTGATTGACCTCTTTTTCTTATAGGATAACATGCCACTATTCTATGCTATAGTGTCTATATTGTCTGTTCTACTTTCTGTATGTTCCCGTGTTTTAACACAACGATAACAATAGAAATCAATTGTATAAAATACTTTTTAAACTCTTCGAAATGAAGAAGAGTGATTTATATTTTCTAAATATAAAAAATTATAATACATATAAACCTGTGTATAAGGCAAGTACACGGCTTTTTATAATTGATTTAGAAGGTGCCTCGAAATAATTTCCTCAGAATCCGCTGTATTTTTTCCTCTCTCTCTCTCTCTCTCCCTCTTCATTTTAAGCGAGGGTGACCTAGATGCTTGCAATTTGATGCACAATTTAAATGCGACAGGTGCTTTTCCTGATCCTCTTCTAGATAAAAAAAAAATCTCTATTTTAGTCTTCAATCTAAATGCATTTCCTTTTTTTAAAGACAGCAAAGAAACGGTATGGTTTTTCGACAAATATTCGCCTGATAAATAATATAAAAGTGTGGCCCATAAGTCACTTAACCTTGATTTATTTCGAAGAAATTTAATCAACCAATGACAAGTCGTTTTTGACAGTTTACTATCTCAGTTAACTGAATTTTGAACCACTTTCTGTATATGTATACAAGTCGACCCCCTTATAACACTGTTGATTATTCAGTTTTATATGAATTCCATGTTGTACGAGTCAGTTAGATTTTACAAATACGTGAGCCGTTTACAGCCCGGCACACGTATTTGTAAAATCTAAGTGACTCGTACAACATGGAATTCATATAAAACAGTGTTATAGGGGGTCTACTTGTATATATATATAATGTGGGGATGCTGTAACTATTGCTTACAATATATTTTCTGACCATATACTATTGAAAATAATTCGAGTTATCCCATATTTATAGAGGAATATCTGAAAATTTATATTCTTTTACTAATGACTAAACTTGTATACGTGGAGGGTGGACCAAAAGTCAGTTTAAACCGCTTTGTTTTATGTGTGTGTGTGTGTACTGTACGTTTCTTACATGTGTTTTAAACATTAAGCATCCGAATACGATAGGAATTTAATCTCAACTGGTTAACCGACTTTCGGACCACCCTAGTTACATTTCAGTAAATTAATAATAATTAATTTAATTAAGGAATTTTTATTTAAATATTTGAAATATTTCGAATAGGTTGTTCGGTACAAAAGAAACAATTGTTTTTAAATGAATTTCTGAAATCTCTTCAGGAAGAAATGTCATCCAGTAAGAAAGAAAAGAGTTCAAGGTGAATATTTCTACGTTTAATGTACATTAATTAATAATTTTCTACATTTTAAAATTCATTAAATAATTATTATTATTAACTAATTAAATAAATTTAAGTTTCTCTATTTCTATATTCAGAACATATTCAACGATTCAGGAACAAGCAGCCAGATGGAAATTCGACAACCTTGATGTCAATAATAATAAGGTACAAGTAATGAAGTTATTATTGATGCAAATTATATAAATTTCTTATGTAATTATATTTAAAATACTGTGGAATTTAAAAAGAAAAAGAAATTTCATTTAAATATTAGAAAATAATTTCGAATGATTATTATTATTATTATTATTTAATTTTAATTAAAAAGCTATCTTAGGGTGTAATTTTTACGATAGATTGCATTATTATCTCTTTATAAATTATGTAATAACTTTCTATATTCAGTTATGTGTTGATTAAATATCAGTTTTATGCATAAATACTAGAAAAAATTTTAGTTTTTTTAAGTCTTCTCTTGTATAACAACAATATAAATAATTAATGAGGCTTACAGTTTGCATTTTAATGCTGCATTTTTTATCTGTTATTCTGTATCAATACTGTTTCCCTCTTAAAATTTCAGTGTTATCTTCTCTCAATTTTCCTCCCTTACATTTCGATATGCTCCTTAACCTCAATTATTTCCTCTTCTTAATTTTAGAAGCCATCTTTTAATGGTGTCTTCCTTTAAGATTTTCCCTGTTATATTGTTTTTTTTTATTTGTTTTCTAATTTAATAAATAAAACAATTTATATTTTAAAAAAGACAAAACACTGTTTGGGAAATATGTAAAATAAACAATATTCTTTTATCAGTTTTTTCATTTTATTAATTAAAGGAACACTTGAAAAATATATTGTTTTTATTTCTATTCTTTTAACAATAATATATATTTAGACCTATATTTTATTTAAAAGAAACAATGTGTTGTTTCGTTTATTATATACTGTATGCTGTTTCTATAAAATAATATAAGAAACAAAGCGTTTTAACAATTGAAGAGTATTGTTTCTTTTATTTCTCTATTGTTTAAGAAATAATATAAACGATACTGTTCATCAGAAATGCATCTGTTTACAGTTATGTAATTAATTTAAATTATGCAATTGTGCCTGGAAAAAATGTGAAGTTTTAAACAATAATATTATATTAAGAAACGAAACAAGGTATTGTTTCTTTTGTTTTATTGAAAATATTACCTTCCAGTTTATATGGCCTTGGAGAAATTCTAGTGCAGTTATGTGTTTACGTATGACTTTTACAAGGCCGTAAACTGACTTGAAAATAAGAAAAAAAGTAAAAAAAAACTTGTCTAAAACGGAAGGCGACGGTATCTGTTATAATTTTCCGTTTTATAAGGGTTTTTTGAGTGTCTAAACACCTGAATAGGTCTTGTTTTCTGTCTTCGTTAGCGTAACAGCTGTAGTTATGTTACCAGAAAAGTCTCTCCTTTCCGGATTATACAGGTTTCCGGTTTGTATAAATAGTAATATTTTATATAGAAAACCATTCCGTTTTAGACAGGTTTTATTTGTATATTTTTATGGCCTTTCGGAGAGGGTGAATACGTAATTCGTGCTTCGATTTATCTCTAATATCTTAAATTATTAATTTCTTCCCCTTGTTTAGCTATTAGAAAAAAGAGAGTGGGATATATTCCGCGAACAATGGAAACAATTTCAACAAGGGAATCAGAAGAGGAGAAAATTCAAAAAATGTTGGAGAAATTTACCGAAATTCTGCGATGGAGATAACAACAAAGAAGTCACAACACAAGAATGGCTTAAATGCGTAGGAATAGATAAAAGTAATTTAATAATTTATAATTATTTCTTTTAATACTTAAAATATACATAGAAAAAACATACTAAAATACATAATTTAATTTCTTTTATAGCTAATTTCCCATTCGACACCGTCAAACGAAATGGTACTAACCCATTAAGTCTGTTACAACACGACGACGATTGAAGAGAATTCGAGTTTAGTGTGGAAAAAAGAACAATAAAAATACACCTTTTAACAATAGCAATATAACAATACGTCAAGTACAATATTAAATTTCAACAGATCTTTATTCAAAATTTATATAACTAGTCATTAAGGGGCCCTATATTTTTTTGCATTGTATTAAGAAAATTAATAATTAATTTTGATTTTATTTATATATATATATATATAAGACAATGACTTCATGTTCCTAAAATTTAGCATCAAAGGTTCCTTTGCTTCCGTTTTTGCCGCCAGGGTAGTAAAGGCGCTGCGTTAATTATTATTAATTATACTTAAACGGATTAATATACGTATTTATTAGTTTATACGATAGCGATGAGTTGTATTTACTGTTATTATACAGTAATTATATATATATATATTTTTTTTTAAGTACTTAAACTGTAAATATTGGATCTAGCATTGTTTTCGCCTTAATTTTTTTTAAATTGTTCCTATAGAAGCATGATTTTAAAGTGTTTCTTGTATATATTTATATGCACTTTTTACTATTCTTTATGCTTGGCTACAACAATGTTCCAAGTAATACTTTGCAATGTATTTGTGCCATATTTAAGCTAAATTTGCTTTAAGTTATTGATTTTATATAAGAATACAGTAATAAATAGATTTAATACAGTATCCATTGTTGTCTAGTGTGTTCTATTATAATACGAAGTTTTATATAATTAAAAACGCTTTAGTTGACGTACTGTACTGTACGTTCCGTGGTATGTGTATAGACATACATGTATATAGACACACCCCTATTTAACACCTCCATTTGTTCGCCTACAGAAGAATTAGCGCTAAATCGGGTGAGGCGCTTAATTACGTGCTGGAGAACCTCCAAACATATTTATGATTTGGGCGCTTTGCTTTCTTTTAAATGAAACGGAGTATGTTATTGGCTTCTCAATAACAGAAGCCAAGCTAATAATCTGTTCCAACAGCCAATAACGTACACCGTTTCATTTAAAAAAACGAGCCATGTCATTGGCTCGCTTATCAATTCAAAAGAGTATTGTTTATCAATTCGCAGAAACCAAAGAATTTATGAGGATTTATTGGCTCTTTACGAATGTGACGTTACGTAGGAGGAGGAGGAGGGCCCTACAACGTAATTTAAATGCGTAATTTTTTTTTTAGTGTGTTGGCCACCAAAAATTGCGTGATATCAACGTAGAATCTAACAGCTTATGTTGAATATTGACGTTAACGGGCGAATAAATCACAATCCTCCACCCAATGTAAACACACACAACATATCTTATCGTTAATTTACGTTTCTTTTAAGTGCTACGCCCAATAAACTCAATATACGTCATACAGGGTGGTCCAAAAGTCAGTTAACCGCTGCAAAGATTTCGGTCTTATTCGTATTATTCATCATCTTCTACACAACAACGCTTTGACGTCTTTTCACAGATTTATAGCAAACTGAGGTTAACTAACTTTTGGGCCTCCCTACAAGTATTACTATATATAAGCAATCAATTATATTATTTATAGCGAGAGCAAACTTTTTAAACTGTATGAAACACTCGGATTTTTATATATTTTTTTAATGAAAATTTAGTCCTACACGAATTTAAAGGCAAAAAAAATCTAGGGCCTTGCATTTTAAAGGGCCTTAGCTATAACAAGGTATAAGCTCATTCCTACTCAGTCCCGTAAAAGGCCATTCGAGAGAGAGTCATGATTACGCGCACAAATAAGGCCCGATTGGTGAGACCCTCGTAAATGGGGCCTGATATTTACGGGTTTCAAAAAACTTCTGCTACAGATTATCTCTTCCATTACACGTTTCTTTAAGCATATATATATATATATATATTACATTAGATATAACCTTCTGCTCTTATCCGCCTTGAGTACAATCACATGTTCATCAGCCAACCATTTCCTGGATCTTTTTAGCATACGCTAGAAACCATCATCACAGGTTTGGTTGTTGGTAGCGCAGATTTTGAGTGCAGTTTTCCATCTGTAGTACTCCTTTTGGACCCCGTCATGACTGTGATGACGGGTCCATTCATTTATTGTATACTACTCGGGCTTTAAGATGATGTTATAAATACAGAGCTTCAATACAGAACAGTAAAAATTTCAACAGAATATTTAACACATTTTTAAGGATCCTGAATTATTTGACTTTCAATGAAAATTGTCATTTTAAGCTTATTCTTCTCTGATGATNATTATAAAATAATTATTTTAATTTGTTTTAGAATTAACGAGGAAACCTTTTATGAATACACTTTTACTTTTATACCTATACACTATGGCCCAAAAATCTGTTAACCTAAATATATTGTAATTATTTATTTACGTAAGGTCTTAAAATACATTTCGGTTGACTGACTTTTGGGTCACCCTATACTTAATGCGAAACAGTTGTTAAAATTTTATAATGTTAATAATTATCCATTGTCATTAGCCATTGTTCAATTAAACAGGTACTGTACAATTAAGTATTAATTGTCGATAAAATAAAAATATAATAGTCCTATATCAAAATTAACTTTTTGGATTAAAAAATAATGTAATTGGGCTTCAATTCGAAAAAATTGTACACCGATAAATTCGTTCGTTCGTCCGTCCGTCCGTCTGTCTGTCCTTCCTTAATCTCCAGAACAGAATCAGACACAGGAAAATCAAGACCGGATGTAGAAACCTTAGGGGGAGTTTGTCTCGATTAACTATATATAAAGTTTCGGTCTAGATCGAAAAACACGTGAATTCAATTCAAATATTTTCTTGCGTAATACGTTTTATTACGTCATAATACAGTTTTCTTTCTGTAAATAACAGGAAAATAGATCCATATATCGATATTTGGAAAACACTAGTGGAAAAAGACAGTTCTGTCCATAAGAAACTCACACATGAATGCACTCTTAGACATTTGAAAAGCCTAAAAAACGAAGAAAATGACATTTGGAGTAATATTATCCCACCAATAACGTTCTGTAGATTATACAGATGTACTTTATAAAAAAGAAAGGAAGAACACTAGACATCAAGTGAATTTATGGCTACAACTTATCAAAATTTATATGTAATTTAAGCGAAGACTCCAACTGATTTTCTTTAAAAATTAGAAAAAAAAAACTAAGATTTTAAATACGATAAATGGAGACGAATAACCTCAGTTTTACAAGTTAACAAACGATTAAATTACTCTATAGTAACGTTAAATACAGTAAAGAATTTGAATTTTAATATACTATGTATACAATTTACATAGAATTATGTACATAGAAACCGTTCTTTATACCAAAATTATATGTAAAGAGAAGCAAAACGATGCATAAACAGTGTATATTTCAATACAAATAGAATTGTATAAGAATTCATTATACAAGAAGCTTACAGAAAACGTGTAATTCCTATATAGATTCTCTGTATAGGGGGGAAAGTTGAGCATTGACACTCAGACAGACAGACGGACGGTGAGAATATATAAGTCTACTTATTATTATTTTTTTATATTGTATATTTTGCTTGTAATGTTTCCCATTTGTTTAAAGTTTTAATCCTATAAAAAAGGATTAAATTTGAATGGCTTCACTAAAATGTTAATACAAATTCAACGATTTAACTTCGTTCGAGCAAGAAATTTTATTATTTTGTATGAATTTCGAAGTGAAACGTTCCTGAAAGAATGGCCTTAATTTAGAGGTTGATTGTATTTATTTAAAATAATTTAAGTATGGTTAATTATGTGGTATATTTATAGATATAACCTATATTACACAGTACATTAAACATATGAAACATTGTAAGATACATTTACACATATCGTACATTGTAAGCTGTATTTACGTGTAAGACCTATTATAATATGTATTCATTACGTGTATACATGTAAATTATAATATAAAATATATTTATACGCCTTTAATTATAACAGAACTGAATATATGTCTTATAAATACAGGTAACACTTAAAAGAATGGTAACACTTACATGGAGAAGGTATAGCAGGATGGTAGAACTGTACTTTCTTGAGAATTCTATGACTTTTTGTACACGATGGAAGACGATCTGCCATTACAAGTCCGGCTTAACGGGTACTAATTTAATCCCTATTAACTCTAAAATCCATTGACCGATCTGCCTGAAATTTTTCACATTTACTCTTTAGGATCCCGCAGAAAATATAGAATTTATAAAACCTCAATACCCCCGCCCAATATCCTGATTTCAACTCTCCTTTACTAACACCTCAACTTTTGTGACGTTCGATAATCATAACCTTATTAGTATACATTAGCTTCATTCATCACGTAAAGATCCATCATCTATTGTGATTAATAATGGAAAAATACCGTAAGTCGCATGGTTTAGAAGACTAAATTGTGTTGACGGGTAAACGAGAAAAGTGTATTGACTTTCAACACAACAAATTTCCTGTCTCCTAGGTTTTTGTAACCATGTGATGTCCTCTGCGTGTGTGCAATAAATAAAACTCGAGATTAAGGCCCTGAAGATATTAGAAATTAGCAAAAAATATATCAAGAAATTGTTCAGAAATAGTTTATAATTTAATTATTATTATTATTTAAAATGTTTTATGTATAATTTTTTTATATCCAACGTAGATAGACTTTTTACAAAAACTTTAAAAGTATTTCATTCCCTTGATGGATAGGAAATATAAAATTTTATAGAATTTTAAAATAAACTTGAGTTATAAAAAAATATAATAAAAATAAAAATAAAACTGCATTTTCGGATTAAAAATAAACTTTAAAATAATAATAAATCGTGTATTATCCATCGGTTATGTTGGTAACATGTAAAATCTCAAAAAAATTCACTGAAAATGCTTTTAACTTAAAATAAACTTAAAACTTTAAAGTAGTATATATATATATAAAGCTGGAAACATTTAAAAAAAATTTTATCTTTGTTTTCATTCCTAATAATTGCTACCATTATTTTTAAGTCTTCAGATTGGTTCGAGTGATGTTAAAGGGATGATGTCATATCTCTCGAACCAATGGTCCTATTTTCCTGAAAATTTCTAGAAACATTTCTTCCTAACACACAAACCTCCATGCAAAATTTCAGAAATTTTTGACAAAGGGCACAAGATTTATTAAGCTTCAAAATGGGTGAAAAAATCGTACAGTACCTCCACACACACACACTCTAACATCTATATATACGGGGGTGGGAAAAAACAATTTTTTTTGCATTTTTATAAATATTTTATTGTTTTTTTTTTACAATATATACACCACATAATACACAAATACATATATATATATATATATTTAATTATTTCACATTAATTATTTATTTATAACATATTTTATTATTGAGATCTCTTGCGATAATCTCTCATCCCTTTAACTATGTGATGAGAAATGTACCTAAAAACAGAAAACCACGCTTGAGTCACTTCTTTAGTCATTTGTTCTTGTAAAGTCTCTTCTAATCCACTTTTTAATGCATCCCATAATTTCTGGAAGGAAGGAAAGAAAGGAATTTATAGGAATAAATCACTTAATACCAAGTAATTTATAAGGATAAATAAGATAACTTACATCAAACATATCTTCTTGTACGTTGTAACGTGCGTGTTTGCATCCCAATTCGAATAAAATCCCAGATAATACACGGCTATCATCTAAATTATCAATGGCAGCTTCTAATGCCTGCATAACTAGAAGAGCGTGCCTTTCCATGCCACCAAGATCCCAATCGTAAGTTCCGTCTTCTTTTAATGTCATGAATTTCTTGAAGAGTTTGCACAGTTCTGGATGCTGCGTTAGTAATCTAGATATTTATTTTTAAATAAAAGAAAAAGAAAAATTCAAATTTTATTTAGACATTTGAAGTAAATTGCTATGTTATTTTCCTTTTTCCTAAAAGAATTTTTCAATGGCTTTGCTGAAAAATCATTTTAAGAGATAGAATTTAGACATTTTATACAGAAATTAAGGAAGATGAGCGCAGAAGTGATTAATTTTTCAATTGTTTGATTCTTCTTTATTTTCCCATCGGTGGCCGAGAAGATAAAACTACAGAACAGTGGTCGTGGGTTCGCACCTCACCAACAAGCTGTCCACATAAAGTTATCGGGACAATTTGTTGATAAACAAGCGAATAAAACACATCTAAACAACGGCCAATTTCTCTTAGAAGGTCCTCAGATTGCTCATGTTTTGCAACTCAGAATACTGATAATTGGTCGTAGATTTATGTGGAGTTCTCTTTACGTGTCTAACATCTGAATAAAGGCAAATTTTCCCGTAGAAGATCCATAGTTGGGTTACGGCATAGCAACACACGGGCGTATCCCAACAAATCAATCATCATCACTTAAATATCTTGGAAAAGTTCAGCATGTCTTAGGCTATAAAATCTCCGATAACTCATTAAACACGTGGATTTACACCTGACCAACGTAGAGTTTAAACACTTAAGTAAGGCCAAGTTTCTGCTCACCTATTCGTTCCATCAATCCACAGTTCTACTACACAAAGGACCACGCAACATACAGATAATTAACACACAATGTGTTAAAAAAAAGGTTTAAAACTGTCAAAATTCTTTAAAATTTACATGGACTTTTGAAGTAAATTACTAATTTCTTTCCAAGAATTTTTTAAAATTTTCTGAAAATTCATTTTATATAGAAATCAGCGAAGAGTAACGTAAAGTAACAAGTTGCAAAATTGAATAAATATGTTAGATACCATCTTATAAACATCATAAATTTCTTGAAAAGTTTGCAATGTGAAGACTGTTGATGCATGTTGCGATAAAAAAAATCTAGATTTATTTCTATAATAATAATAATAATAATAAACAGAAAAAAAACTTAAAAATTTCTTCATATTTTTGAAATAAATTACAGTTTTTTTTTACGTTTCCAGCAAAGTTTTTACAGTTTATGAGCTGCAGAAATCAGTGATGAGGAACGTAGTTACACGCTACAAAATTGAATAGAAACATTAAAAAATAAAAAATAAATAATGTATAAAGTAGAATTCTTTTAAATTTAGATATATTATATCATTTCTTAAATAAAAATAAACGAAATCTTTTTCTACTTTAAGGAATTTAATCTTTAAATTCCTCTTTTCAAAAGCCACTTCGTGCAGCAACAAAGTAGAAAGAACGATCTTGTCATTTTGAAAGATGTCACCTTTCACTAGAAAACATTATTTTTGACGCTTTTTAAAATATTAAATTACAAATTTCTTTTTTTTT